GGGGTCCGGACTTGGCACGACTCAGGTATTAGTCGTAAGGTCACCATGAGGCAGGTCAGAGGGTAGGACATGAGGCAGAGAACTCTGACCAAACGATGGTCAATAGGTACCTGGTCTGTGCACCATTGTATTAGTATATATAGTAGGGAGTCTGAGGCAGGGAACCTCAGACTTGATCTTCTCGTCGATTCCCCATCTCCTCTGTAGGTAGCTAGCAGCCCTACCTCCCTCACTACCCCTTCTAGTCTAGGGAATACATCTCTTCACATCTCTTGCTGTGTCACCTCTGGTTGCTTCGCTTCTCAGCACCAACCTCTGCATCAGTAAGCTTTGCCCTTGTTTGTTTTGGTGGCACAGCTCGTTGGCTGTGACAAGTCCGTGTTCTTGAACAAACTGGTGGTGGATAAAACAAGAGTAGGCTCCTGAATCGAGGAGGGCTTCTGACTGAACTTCATGCGTACCTTGAGTGAGGGAAACTTTGAGATCGAACGAATTTCGCGGGCGACATGCTGATGCGAGATAAATAACATTCAAACGTGGAACAAAAGAGTCCTCTAGGTTTACGCTATGATTACAGAGTCGGATACTTTGGTCAGTCCTCAAAGTATCCGTTCCAGAAAATCCTCCTCCGATTCCTTGACCTCGACGATGCGTGCGGCGGTCTCGGTTTCCGGTGCCTTGCCTTTGCCTTTGCCTTTAGCAGTCTCAAACTCCTCGAGGGCCCTGCGGATGTACTTCCATTTCTCTTCATCGGCTGTGTCCATTGTGCGTACCTTGGTCGGAGCGGCCAGTTGCTTCTTCATGTCGGAGAGCTCGTAGTAGCCCGTGTACTGAGGGTTCCGACATTTTTGGCCAGTCGTAAACTTGTGCTTGCCGCAGCGGAAACAGAGCTTCTTGTCGAGCCATTCGAGTTGTTCCTTGGAGAGCTTCTCCGGCTTGTGCATTGCGTCAACATCCATGGCATTGGGGTCCCGTGGGGGGCGGCTAGTCGTGTGCTGCTGCAAAGACGACTTGGCCTGACTCCCACGAGTTTCCATTTCCAGCTTCGGTACCCAGTCCAGATAGTGTTCCCATTTCGTCGGAATCAGCATTGGGTTGACCTGCCGCATTGCCGTCATGACTGTCAGAATCTGTGAGTTCTTTCCGACCTGATTGTCAATGCGACGGATGAGCTCCACGTCGGCATAACCAGACTTCGATGCGTAGCGGCGGAAGTTTTCGGCAAACTGAATGACGGTGGAGTGGGTCTTTGAGCACCACTCCTCGAGGGACGTCTGTGCAGTCTTCTCCGGAGCCAGTTGACGGTAGCCTGCCTTAAGTCGGTTGACGAAGTCGGTCCAGGATCCAAGGGTTCTGCCGTTTGATGCTGTCTCGACGTTGTTGAACAGGCGCTAGTTTACACAGCTTGCCTAATACAGCCGTCACAAGATATGGAACGGCACAGCCGGTTACTGCAATAACCGAGGCTGTACTACTCATGTGGTACACACACAGCTTCGCTGTGTACGCACTGCTTCTCTGTGCGACTGTGCATCCTGGGAATGTACTGTATAGTACTACGTAGCCACAGATGTACAGTAGTATATATAGGGGACCTCTGTACCCCCAATCTACGGTTCAGTTCACTCGAACATCTCCTCTCATCGCTCTAACAAGCCTCTAACAACCAACAACCCTTCTAGGTGAGTTGCAGGCTATCCGCTGTCGTTGCCACCCGTGGGAGAGGCCTTCACCCCCCGGGTTCAACAGGTTATGAGCCCTGCTCGACGCTGCAGAATCTGCGCTGCTCATCGTGTGCTGCGATCTGTAAGCTCGCAGCTCACCTGGATCTTTTGCCATCGTTATCGATGTGCAACCGCTG